GAAATATTTTGAAAAATCATGCCCCTCTTGTGCTGTTGTATGGTATGAGATTTCAGTTTTTGAAGAGTAGTTGAGTAGATCAGTCCACAAACACATATTTGAAGATGACACTTTGACATTTTTTTTTTCATTAGAAGACAAAGCTGATGGCTGTAAACAGAAGGTAGACAAGATCACACAGCAGAGATAGCATGAATTTTTACCAGTGAGTGGGTAAATCAATGCTAAAGTGGTCACATACATATGCAGTGTGTTTGATATTTTGTCACTGTCAGTCCTTCAGCTTTCAAGAAAACATACAGATCTGGTATTACAAACATATGGTAAGAGTCAAACTGATGGAAAAGGTATTGTGTGGGGTCATTTTGCTTGTACTATACTGAAGGTCAGGCCAGTAGCTTCAGCTTACAGAAGCCAAAAAGCTTTTTGCTATCCTGGTATTGACTTTGCATACAGAATACAAAGTTTTTGTTTCTAATCCTTTAGTTTTTGAAATTGAAGCAGCAAACCACAAAACAAACCTTAAAATGTTTGAACATAATGTCAATGGTCTGAAAAATGTTGGGACCATAAAGAGAACAAAATAACTGAGTATATCAAAATTCTTAACATTTCTTTGAGAATTTTTTTTTTCTTTCTCTTCTTTTAGAGAGTCTTTTCTAACATGCATGCTCTGTAATCCTATGACTCTTAGAAACAAACACACGGTGATGAATAGTTCTTGACAAACAAACAGAAGATATAAATAGGTTACAATTTCAGGTAAATGTTTGTGTTACAACCTGTGCCATTTATTTTCAAACTGGCAGTATATGTAGCTATATATAGGATGTGACCTCCATCCTTCTATACTGTGGTGCCTGCTTACACAGCAGCCTAGCACAAATGGAGCTGTGCTAACTCGCAGGCTAGTCTAGCCCTGTTTGTTTAGGATAGTTCGCAGTCTTAGGAAAGATGCTTGACTGTCAGTTGCACACAGTTCACAGATAGAATATGACCCTATACAGAAATGTAGACACCTTTAGCTGAATGGCTTAAATTATGAACACAAATGCATTGCAGACAAACGCATGGGATTTACAAATCGAGCTGGAGTCTGCAGCAGGGGCATTCTTCCACTGTTCCTGAATGGAAAAGATCCTAGACTCTTACAATAGATATGTGCTAGCAAACAGCTCCTCGCTGTGGACACTGTAGGTACTAATAAAATAACCTGTAAATTTACTGTACTTAACCTGTCTGTCTCACCCAGCCCTGACAGAATACACAAAAAAATATTGGGTTATGATTAATTTAAAACATAGGTTCATAATATTTTTTTCTAAAATACGAGGGACTTCTAGAGAAAGGACTTCTCTAAAAGATGGTAAATTTGGAAAAGCTTTTTTTTTTCTTTTTTTTTTCTTTTTTTTTCCCCCTTTAATTTAAATTTAGCAGAGGGAAAAAAAAAAAAAAAAGGAAATTCTGAAAGGAAAGCTATTCTGTGACGTGAGGTCCTGACAACCTTTTGGGGAGCACAACTCAGTGGTGCTCCATAGCAGTGGGCATCGCATACATGGTACTTGAGAACAAAAGCTATTTTACAGAATAACAGTCATTTCCCCCAGACTTGCAGAACATGAGGACTGTAAGTCTTAACATCCAAAACGTAAGGTTTTAAGAATTTTCCAGGTGGCAGACATGGATATATATATTTCTTTACAAGATGCTGTAGAATCTTTCTTCTTCTAGGATACAACATCTGATGTGATCCTGGATCTATTTTCTCCTTCCTTTCATTCTATTTTAAGAGGATGAAAAAAAAAAAAACCTGTAGAAATTTCTGCCAACATGCCATATATCTGGATGTTGGGTGGAGCTGCTCTGGGCAAAGGGAACATCTCTGCTAGCCACCCACTGTGCAGCACTGTGGCTGGAGATGAAAAGGAAGGTTGTTTCTCGACTTGTGATTGACAACCGTGTGCTCAGGAATGAAGAAACGCATGCTCCACCTAATCCCATGAGCTTCCTCTCTCCCATGTGGCCTATTTAAAGTTATTCTAGTATTCTCTATTGGACTACAGCTATTAAGAGAATATGTTCTTGCTTTAGACCCTTCAAGCTAAGTAATTGTCAGCAAAGCTGGGGAAAAACTGAGCATGCCTGCATTAACCATTGTTCGCAGTGACTCATGGTAGCATTTCCCAGGGTGACTATATTGGTGAGACGCCAAGGCTCCTCCCTTTAGAACAGATGGGAGATTTTTATTATTATTATTATTCTGGCATTATTATTGTATAACAGCAGCAATTATGATGACAGTTTATAGAAAGATAAATAGCCAAGATGCCTGTCACAAAGTTCTCACATTGTGTGAGAAATAGTTAAAGGACCTGATGGGAACTTTAAACTGCTGGGGTATCGTTCCTTCCCTACCCCCTTCCCTCCCCCCGAAAGTGACTTGTTTTAAAATAGAGTCCTAGACAATAATAATGTAACATATTATATCATCACCAAAACTGAATGCTTATTCACTTCCAAAACATGTAACCGGTTTTCCAAACCAGATGCTATGAAAAATATATGGAAGTAAAAAGTTTGACTTATGCTGTATATAAACTGCTAAAAATACATCTCATGAATTGGTGTACAGCCACATTGTACATACTGCTGCACTGCATTTAGCACTGGTGTAAGCAGTTGGAAAAGAGCCTGTCTAAGGTGGTGCATAACCTCCCCCACTATTTATCTGCTAAGGAGGCACAGAAGGAATTTATTACCAAACTTCCTTTGGCTCCCTGGGGAGCCAACTTGTTTCTCAGGTAATAATGTAGCAAAACAGGTACTTGGCAGATATGTGAAGAGTAACAATACCTCTCTAGACTCATATTTTGAGTAGTTTAAGTGCAACCTTGCCACTGGGAGGTGGCTCTGAACACAATATATACAGCAGAATTTGCTTTCTCTTGCATGGAATAATTGGTTTGTTGGCCAGAAAACAGGGTGCTCCCCAAGAAACTTGTATTCGTACCCATGTGGAAAAAATGGATAAGAAAATTTGTGTACTCTTAGCTTCAATTATTGCAGCTAAAGAGATCAAATTAAAAAGTCAGGCTTGCGTCTCTGGATGCACTACTGCAGAGCCCATAATTCATTGCATGGGCCTCCATATTTCCTAAACTGTACAATCATTACTCAAAAGCATGTATATATAATTCTGATGCCTAATTTTGCATAGTGCCACATGCGACCCTTTCTTAACAGATATAAATATTTGGGGATTTCTTTTTGGTGATGAATTAATAAAAAGATGATATCAAATAGCATAAAATTGCTGTGAATATTAATATTGTATAGTGCCCATATGACATGTGCTTTGAAATAAACTTGGAATTTTTTTGGAGAGATTGCAAATCCTGTATTTTAATTGCACCATCAAGAGACATTGTGTTGAAAATATGCCTTAAATGGTCAGGATAAGCAGGAATTACATTTTGGAGTCTTACTTTAAAAACAATAGAGGCATCTAGTGGAAGTGCTTGAGGACTGCAACTGTTAGGGAATACATCAGCACACAACTCATTTCCCTGCATTACTTCTTCCTGGACTGAATTTCAGGAACTGAATGACAAATGCCAACTGTGTCTATGCTTTGTTTAAGAACAGGTTAATCTTAAATTCAGTGTTGTTTAGGCACTGTGAGGAGAACCTGATTCAGGAGCCTAAGACATTTTTTCAAAAGCGATCCAAGCAAGCTAGACTATAGAAGAATTTGTATCTGTACTGATTACAATCTTTTTTCTTTAAGATGCGGCCAGTCACAGTGCAATTTTATAGGCCTTGGCTACCTAAACCATTAGATTCCTTATAAAACACGATTGAATTAGGCATGCAGAGAAGTGATCTTTTAGGCAAACAATGAGGATATGTGCAAGTCTTAACACAGAGGCTCTCCATAGCCATATGATGAAGGGGTATGATTTCCATGCATGATTCGCAACCTCAGACCCTCTCTGTGTGAACTGACTCTTGAGTTTTCTTTTAAAAACCGATGGGTTGAAGTGGGGAGTGTCAGTCTTCCTTTAAAATACAACAAAAGAGAGATCCCCTCCCATCAAATACTTCAGCCTTTAAAGGACTCGCCCAGGACATAGAAGAGGAAGTTCAGTTTCCTCCTCAGCCTGATAGCACACCTGGACATTTTGTGTCATGCTACATACTCGGGGGGGGAGGAGGAGATGACCCAGCAGAAACCTGAGAGCTGGCTCTTCTTTGCACCCAAGGAGAAACCCAGACTACAGCCAGACTAATAAGCATACAAAAGGCATGGAAGTGCAGGGCTCGGTGACTGATGCTTTTTATTTTTCCCCTCCCCTCGAATTCGAGCATGCTACAAATCTATTCACATGCCCTTGCAGAAAAAAAATAAAAATTAAAAATTAAAAAGGGCGTGGATCCTCCCTGCTGGTTTCCAATCTCTAGGCAAATCTCACTGAAAAGAAATTTAAATACCAGGCACATGTTTGCTCTTGGTGTTTGAGCATCAGCATTAATCCTAAAGCTCACCCTCACAACTTTCAACCGCAGTTTTATTACTTCCCCTGCTAACCACGTCGCTACTTATTTCTTCCTCAAATTTCCTTCCCTTGCTGTGGCAGACTTCTTCCCCAAATCGCACCGCGGGCTCGGAGTGGCATGCCTTCTGTCCTGCCTCGTCAGCAGCGCAAAACCTGACGGCGAGCGCGTTACGCCGCCAGGTGCCATCGCTGCTGTGGAGTTTTGCCGAATTTTAGCGGCTTTGCGCCTCGCACCGACCCTGACCAGAGGGCAGACACCAGGCAGAGGGGTCTCGGGGAGAGAGGAGGACACGGTGCCGTGCCGAGCACGATCTCCGCGGCTCCCCTCGCTTTCAGCCCCTCACACCCGTGAACCCCCTCACCCTCCCCGGGCCGTGACGCCGGAGCGGGCGGGCTCGGGGAGGTGTCGCCCCCTCGGCGGCCAGCCCCCGGCCGGGCGGCGCTCCCGCTTCTCCCTCCCGCAGCTCCCGGCCCTCTGAGGCGCCGGGGCCCTGCCGGGCGCCGCCGCGTTGCCATGGCGCGTCCCGTTCGGCCTGGCCGGGCCTGAGCGGCGGGGCCGTAGCCGGGCCGGACACCGAGGACCCCGAGCCTCGCCCCGGCCGCCGCGGGCTGCCGGGGCCCGCTGGCCGCCGCCCCGCTGGCCGCCGCCGCGCCCCGCCGCCGTTCCCCTCCGGCCCGTGGCGGCGGCGGGCGGCGGGCGGAGCAGGGAAAGATGGCGGGGAACGGCGGCGGCGGCGGCTTCGGGGAGATCGTCCAGCTCAACGTGGGCGGCACCAGGTGAGGCGGCACCGAGATCTGCGCCCTAAAACGCTGCCGCCGCCAGCCGAGGGTGGTGCGGGGCGTGGAGGGGTGGGATTGCGGGGCAGGGGCTGCGTGAGGAACGGTGCGGGTGTGCCCCTCGAAATGCTCGGCCGTGGCACCGTGCGCGTTACGGCGTGGTGGAAGCCAGGCTGTCCGAGCCTGCATGTTTTGTGTAAAGCCAGCCGCAAGGAGCAGGGATTACTCCCGTTTTAAGTGTCCTTGCAGAAAGCAGGCTCGGTGTTGTCACTCGGGAGCCTTCCTTAAAGGAGGGTGCTGCCAAAGCCGGCGCAGAGAGCTCTGCTGCTGTAATAAGGCATTGGGAACAGCCCCAAGAAGCTGTTTGTAACTGAGGCATCGCTGTGGGTGAGCTTTGCCCTCAGGCTAACTTTGATGTTGACTCGGCCCCCATTTCGTGTTACACTGAGTGAGGCACCTCAGTGAGCTCTGGCCCTGGAATGACAGGCCAGGTCGGCCTTCAGATTTCTGTTTTAGTGGAATCACAAAGATGTCTCAGTCTGGTGTTTTTAAATGGTTCTTCCTTATTAAATGCCTCTGCAGAGAACAGACAATTACAGGGCGTGAATCAGAATACATGAATACACGTCTTCAGAGGGCTTGCCTACATAAATATGAAGAATACGGCAAACTAACAAATGCGTATAAGTTTCATTTCTGTTTGAAGGGTTCTGGAGTAGGAAATGCATGCACAATCGTTTACCTTTTAACAGGGAGACATTAGGGCATAGTACCAGTCTGTGTAAGAGGTCTTGGTCTTCTGCAAGCTCAACTGCCCTCGTAGTGCCCATCTTCTTGGAAGGATGTATCTGAGCCAGGCTTTTCAGCTTCCAAAGGCAGGTGGCTCAAAGCTAGCAGCAGAGTTGTTCTGGACAGCACATGGGAGAGCCTGGAATAGAGCACGCGTTTTTTTCCTATTCATTAGCTTCTGTAACCTGTATTAGAAACCTGAAACTCTTAGTTCTGTTTGGAGAGCTGTCTGATAGCAGTAATTCTGTGGATCTGGTACAGACACCCAGCTGACCACGTTTCCTCTGTTTGACATTAGGTTCCCACTGCTTCCAGGGACAGACAGAGCCTGTCTGCCATGTGCTGTAGCTCCAGCAGTTGCTGGTCTCAGGTTTTGTGGGTTGCTTAGCCAAGAGTGCAAGCCTCTTGCAAGTTAACAGTTACAGCAATTACTGTAAAAAATTCTGTTGATCCTTTACCTCCTCAATGTATAGATAATTCTACAAGCGCAATAGACTATGAAAGCGGTTGTTTTATATCTGATACTTGAGTAGGTCTGTTTCCAGTTGTCTATATTCTTTGACATAACAGTCAGTTGCCATGTGCTTTAGATTATTTGAGGATATTCTGCTCATTTTGCCTGATTCCCCTTCATATGGAGTCTGCCCACTGTGTGTTAGGTGCATGGAGCTGCAGATGTAGTTATGCATGTCAGTGTTGCTCGCTGTGCTTCTTTCTACGTCCTGGAAAGGAGTACTCCAGTTCGTTGTTTACATAGATTAATGTGTCAATATTAAAAGTTCTAAAGTATATGTTAGTATGAGGGATTGCTTACTAAACTAGTACCACAGTGTTAAGGTATGAACAGAAAATCCTTGAGCTGTCTAAAAACAGTGATTGTGCAGAGCAATGAAATTGCCAGGAAATGAACAAGGAGTCAGTTGCTGGCTCTCTTTTTCCCCCATACTCTTCCCCTTTACTCTTGAAGTAAAGAAGGTCAGTGGTCTGTATTACTGCTGATAAAAGCTGTGCCCCAGCAAATCCACAAGTGAGAAATTACACTTAGAAGCCTCTTTCCATTTAAATAGCCAACTGTTCTCTTTTTTCCCTTTGTAGTAAAGACTGTGTACATTTATGCTCAGAATGCTGATGCTGTGGATTTTCTGTTAAGAACAGATTTGTCATTGTTGTGCTTGCAGGGAGCAGCTACACAATCCGCATTTTATGCAGAACGGGTGGTAGTTTCATATGGCTTTTATGCTTCTGACTCCCTTTAAGAGTACACAGTAATGCTTTTTGTTTACTTTTTTTTTTTTCCACAGCTAGAAAATATAGGCAGTGAAAACTGTATAAGCTATGATTAAATATTTGTATTCTAAAAATAGTTGTAAAAATACTTGTAATACTTGCAAAATTCCTATACTGTACAAAAAGTTGTCATGGAACTTTACCTTGGCATTTCCTTTTTTAATTCCTGTTAATTAAGTGGTCACCAAAGGTTTCTTAGTCATGACTAAGCTCATTTTGAACTCATTTTCTAAGCTGCCAGTCCAGTTGTCTTCCTTCATGTTAAAAATGGGATTAGCATAAAGGAGTTCTTAGTTATTTATTATAGAAAATACTGTCTGGCATTATAAACGATAATTCGTGCTATTGCATAATATTATGATTCAGAGTAAATATTTTTCTCACTTTTAACTATTAAAACTATTTTAATAGCTTTTTAGAGGCCCACTATTTTATATTGTGGGCCCCTAAAAAGGGCCCAAAGAGCAAAACTGCAGACAATTAAAATTACTGTAAAATATTAACTTGTCTGAAGTTACTATAAAATATTAACTCGAATCATGTTGTAGTCTTTTGCAATGTAAGGTGTAGCACCCTTTGACTCCTGTGTAAGGGTAGCATGGTGTTAATGACAAATATAGTAGACTGTTGATAAACTTATGTTTTAACGGCTGGGTTTGTGTGTGTGTGCATTTGTGGTTTTATTTATTTATTTTAAAAGCAATGATGTTGGCAAAGTGTGAGAAACAGAGAAAGGTTGTTTGGGACAGTGTGTTACAAACACACAAAAACAACACTGCAGATACTTCTCATCATACTTAAAGGTGATCTGTGCAAAGAAGCTGCAACCTCTTTGACTTTGTGAAGATGTAGCAATCTCAAACTTCTCTGACCCATTTGATGCCAGCTTTGTAGGACATGTCACAGAATTTGACAGAGGAGACTGCTTTCCTGTTTTCTGGCTGGTTCTTAACTTGTAATTTTGGTCTCCTAGGTTCAGCACTTCAAGACAAACACTGATGTGGATTCCAGACTCCTTTTTTTCCAGGTAATGTTTCATTTCATAACACAAAGAAATGTTGATAAGTATTTTCAGAAATAATATATACATGTATTCTCTGTTCTAATTTATGCCAGGAATAAGGTGTTACACCATTTTTTCTCCATCTCAAGCAATGGGATGGGTTCATCTGAAATAAGGTGGTTTCCAATAGTCTTCTGCTGTCTTGGATTGTGCTCTGGTTGCTTGTGTGTGCTGAAAAGTTGTCACTTTTCAGATAAAATATCCTGGAAATAAGGCAGCAAATCTGCAGGAAAGGGAGATGCCACTGTCTGTTGCTATTTTGCCACTTGTGATCTTATTGCCCATATACAGTGGCACTATCTTTAATGTTATATGAATTATCCCTGTACCTGGAGTTAATTAAAAAGTTTTAAGGTTTTTAACCCATGTTACAGGATCTGTGGTATCTTTCTGCTTTTATCTAACTACTGTTACTACTTCTATAGGTTCTGCTGTTTGTACTGTAGTAATTTTGTGCTGTTGTTGCCCTACCTCTCCCATCAAAGTTAATCCCAAACTCATAAAAGAAAACTCAAGTCTGGCTATTTTGCTTCCTGGCACTTGATTTTTGTACTCTAGACTTCTCTCCCAATGAAAACCTGGCAACTGTCATGGACAGGCAGTATTATCTGCTTCTGTTATACTGAAATGTTCAGATAAATGGAGAACCAGGGAGTTACCACCTTCTCTGAGGTGTGGAAGGAAAAGCGCAGTAAAGAAGTCCTCAGAAGTTTCTTGTTTTCCCAAAACTAAGTGTACTGCCTAAGGAGGTTGCTCTGAAACTCATCCAGTACTGAAAAATATCTATGAGGTCATTGTCATCCACAGTCAGATGGGATTTGGAAATAAAACTGTTGTTGTTAGTGTGTTTGCTTCACATCTGTAGAAAGAAGCTCTGGTGGTGTTTTCTACTGATCTGGAGCAAGAGGACTTTGATCTGATGGGAGAGAAGCTTTGAAGTAAAACAGTGTTAAAAAACTCAACTCTCCCATTCCTGCCCGCTAAGTACCCGCAGAATGGATTGTTTATTCTTCCTTTTTTTTTTTTTTTTTAATATTTTTTTTTCCAGCAGCTTTTAGTGATTTACTGGGTTGTAACAAACTATGTAGCCCTCTGGGTGCCTCAGAAGAGTTTTCCATCCTTTCAGGCTAGGATCTTCTCTTTGGGAATCTGAAAGGTCCGTATGCAGGTTTCAGCCTTTCCTTAGGTTTGTGTGCACAGCTCCTTTGCACGGGAGAAATGATCTGGTATGTTCTCCCCTGCCTCCCCTCCAGCTTTCCTGCTTAACCTAGGCAGTTTTCTTTGCTCAGCTACATTGTTATAACAAAATGCAACTTACAGCACACAAATAGAGCAGAGTAGCGTCATCGTGTATTCATGGCAGTGCGTTCCTAGGGGACATCTAACAAAGATTTTCTTTGTTCTAGTTTGCTGAGTGGAAGAATTTCAACACTGAAGGATGAAACTGGTGCTGTGAGTAATAAGCCTGATAAATCATTAAATTAATGTTATGCTTTTAGTTAGGTTCTCTACTAAAACACTCTGGGTGTTAATGGGATTTACGCTGCCCAAGTCAGTTATATTAAAAGCATGGAAAGTGAATGGTCAAATGAGAAAAACATTTACATTCCTAGGCTTATAAAACCTTGCTTTGTCTTTTCACAGTATTTTCCTCTGTCATTTTTGTATTACATAACCCCTAATAGTAGTGTTGCAGAAACCTACATTTAAAGTGCTGACAGCACTATCTCTGCTTCAGAGTCTGTGAGGAGTACTGTTCAATTGAACTTTTGTTTGTATTCGGCACTTATCATTTCAATAGGAGGAAAATAGAGAACTTTGAAATCTTTTCAAAATGTCACTGTGTTTTCCTTGCCTTTTGTTGCAGGGAGTGGTGAGATTCAATACCAAGTCTGCTGTTTACTTTTTTTTTTTTTTCTTAATAATTTCAAAACCTATTTACCATACTGTTTGTGCTATTGTATGGGAGAATGTTCAGGAGTCATTGTAAGTCATAAGCTGGTTTTATGTAGTGAAGACTTAAAATATCAAAAAATAGCATTTTTTTGTTTTGTTGCTGAAGAAGTGTATGTTTGTGGCTAGGACAGAATAAAGGTCTTGTAGGTATAACTACTTGCATATCATGCTGCCAAAGTCAGGTTGCTAAACTTTCATGAGAATTGGTGACATCTCTGTATTTCTTGGTTCTTATCTTCGTTCCAAGATAAAAGAAACTGGAACAATGAGCATATTTTTGTGCTCATTCGGCATTGTACAGACAGTGCAGAGACAGCAACAGTGTTTTTTTTAACTGAAAAACTGCCAATTGCTGTATTGGAGAGGGATGGGTGACTTCCATTAGATAGGTATTGCATGTGTAGTTGAGCAATGTTGACATGGAAAAAGAGTTTTGTTTGGCAAATATATATATATATAATTTATATATATATACTGTATATATTAAACATATAGCAAAACTTCCATTTCAGTCTGTGTATATGATACTCTTAAAAGGGAAACTATAATTACAGCGATGTTGAGTGATAAGGCACACAAGTACTTTGCTAAGAGCATAGAGGTAGTTGTAATGATAATAGACTTAAGGGTGATTTAAAAAAAAAATCTTGAGATTTTATTACATTTACTGAATTTTGAACACGATAGAAATTCTGAGTACTCATTGACCTTTGTGGAGTCTCTAGAGCTTAAGTGTGTTATTTTTATTTTTTGAAGTGCAGCAGTGTTTGTATATACGTCTTTAAGAATGTTGAACTACTGCATGGTAGAAAAATGAGAACAAAGGTGCCTGAAAACCCTTGGCTGCGTTTATCTGCTGTCAACATCATCTTCAACTCCTCTTTCCCATGCTTAGCACAAGTAAGCATGTTAGTTGATGGTTGCTCCAAAATAATGCTAAAAGTATGTCATTTTTTCCTTGCAGATATTTATTGATAGAGATCCAACAGCGTTTGCACCCATTTTAAATTTTCTTCGCACAAAGGAGTTAGATTTACGGTAAGAAGTTCTAATTATTGTAAGTAAAAATCAGTTGGATCAGTTGCATTAGAAATTGCTTTTCAAATGGGAATTGTTCAGTTTTGCTCAGTTGGGTGTCTAACATGATTCAGCTGCCTTGTGACTCTGGGCCCGTGTCTGGAGTGTGCGTGTGTGTGGGTATATATATATGTGTGTGTGTATATATATATATATGACTTGTTGAAGGCAGAAGGAGTAGAATAACATTTTGATAGTAAATTCTTGTAGCTTAAGCCACTTCTGGCAATGCATTTCTCTATTACCTCAGTATCTTTAATTTAATTTAAAAATTATTAATGTTAAGATAATTTTGAAATCTCAAAAGCATTAACACGTTAAATATGTTTGGCAGTGATTCTATAAACTGTCAGGTAGCTTTATATTTATGTTGTTTAATATCTGGTTGCATGCAAATATACAAGTCTTACTATGTCCACTATGTGTTTTTGTTTTTTCTTTAGGGGTGTGAGTATTAATGTTCTCAGACATGAAGCTGAATTCTATGGAATCACTCCTTTAGGTATTTTTGTTTGTTTGTTTTGTTTTGATATGAGGTCATCTCATATTTGTTAGTACTGTAATGACCTAATTGCAAATTCTGGGCACTAGTAACCCTGTAGATTTTCAGATTTCCTGATACAGGAGGTTATTTGAAATAATGTCTTGTTTTCAGGGAAGTGAAAGCTATGGTCATACTGTTTTTTTCCCCTCAGTGAGAAGACTGCTTCTGTGTGAGGAACTGGAACGCTCATCTTGTGGCAGTGTCCTGTTCCATGGCTACCTGCCTCCTCCAGGTATTTTTGTGTACATGGCCTGATGTTGCTTGCAGCTGCTTACTGCTTGAGTTTGTGGGAGCAATTGGCTGTCAAACTATCTGGAGAGGGCTTTCATATGGAAAGCTTGAGATGAATGGTTGAATTAGACATAGTTCAAAAACAAGATATATCTGTGTGCTATATGAAATGGTGTACTTAGAGTACTGGAGGGAGGGTGGCATGTTAATACTAAACAAACTGTGTGGGCCAGCGTAGAGATTCTTTGAGAATATTTTAGATATTATCAACACTCTTTACTTTCTGAAGTTACAGTTACTTGACATACCCTCTGTCAGTAGATGACAAATCATCACAAATAAGCTTCTCTTAACAATATTAGTACGTTACGTTTTTACTTCTCTGTAGAGATGAATGCTGTTCGTGTATTAACCTGAAGACTGTGGGTTATTTAGCCAATTATTGACAATTTTTCTGAGATAGTTCCTTAAACTGGTTGTGAGTGTCAAAGCAGAGAGCAGAAACATTTTTTATTTCAGTACCGGGATATATCCTATAATCCTTAGAGCTGATGAATTAGGCTTTGGATTAAAATACACAAATTTTACTTCTTTATTTTGAAAATGAATGAATATCTGTTATATTGCTGAAGCTTATGGAGTGGGACAAAACATCTCTTTTCTTTTATAGGCATTCCCAGTCGTAAAATAAATAATAATGCTGGGCCACCAGCTGATGTTAGAACTGGTCAAAACTGCTCTGAGAGTGAGATTCATGGAGGTGGCGTCCAACCTACGCTAGCCGGTACTGGAGAAGGTACAGTCAGGCTAGGTGAGGGATGTCAGTCTTAAAACCAAAACAAACTGCAAAAATCATTGTCATTGGGAAATAAAAATGGAGTGACTGTTTTTGGTTTCAGTGTTGTTCTATGTTTGCCTGATCTTAAATTGCTGAACATTTACTTATATACTCTTCTTTAGGCAGTATTTAAGACTCAGTGTTGCACAATCGAGACATTAGGCTGAGAAGAAAGGTGAACTAAAGTTCTTCATGCAGTGTTAGTCTGGCCCCTTAGACAAATGCCTTACACTGTACTGGAAGCCGTGAGAAAATACTGACAGGCCAGTGTCTCTTTGGTCATTGTTTAGGAACATGAATCTCCTTCCTGCTCTTGCACTTTCTTGCACCTGATGCCTTTTTTGCCTTGCAGGAGTCAAGAGTCTTTAGCACAAAGGTAGTCTTCGTTTGGCTATGTAAAGTACTTTCTGTATAAAATATTTAAAAACTGTAAACAAGGTAGAATTGGCTTGTGTCATTTTCCAGGTTTTGGCTTTGTAAGCAAAACTGTGTTCTGAGAATTGCCATCTTTCTGCTATAATTGTGTAAATTGCAGCAATATTAGGAAAATCCTGAGTATGTTAAAGGTGAACGTACATGCAAGTAATATTAAAATAAGCCTTTTCCTGAGTTACTGCAGGTTTGGAAGAGGGCAGTAGAGTTTCTTATACGGCAATGATCCTCAATTTTCTTTAACCATTTTTTCAGGGAAAAAAAAAACAAACAACAACTGTTTTCAGAAATACAAGCATGTACTTGTCTCTTTATGCTTAGCAACACTTTCTATTATGGTGACTGAGATGAAAAGTTTCTGTTAAATATCCTAGCAGGAGAGTCCTGCCCTTTTCTGGATGTCTTTGCTCATCTTTTTTCCAATACCCATTGTTTGACTGACTTAAGTTTTATTGTTGGTTTTAGGATTTCCTGTGGACCCACGGAAAGTTTTAATAGTAGCTGGTCATCACAATTGGATAGTAGCTGCCTATGCTCATTTTGCTGTTTGCTACAGGTATGAATGAAGTTGCTTTGCCAGACTACAGAAATCTAACAAATGCAGTAAAATTTCTGCTTTGGTAAACCATAGAAAATTGGCTTTGGTAAACCATAGCAAATTGGTTTACTCCGAAATAACAGTAGATCATGTGCACCCAGTGTGTTTTTATAAATATGAAATACTGTTCCTGCTCATGTAAATAAACTGCTTGACAGGAACTCAGATTTTAATGCTTTGATGTCAGTTCCTGATGCCCTTGCAAAATAAATTAATCAAGTAATGGAATCCAGTTGTAACTGGCAAATGGTACCTGTTTTAAAGCAAGGTTTTAAATGAAAGATTCATTTAAAAAGTTCTTCATACTGCTTGTGTTTGAAGACAGTCTGAAGTGTGGGAAGTTAGACCATCAAAGAGCTTGAAACAGTTCATAGATTTTCTTTGCTATGAGTGATGTGTTTTGTCTTTAAACTCTTGCCTTTTTGGCATAAGTAGAACTGTTACGCACTTGCTACTTCACAGGGATGGCTGCAAAGTGTTTTTAAATGTACTGTAAACTGACTGGCTAGTTTCTAAGATCAGGTGAAGATAAGTGACATCTTTATATTGCAGAAGCTGTTTATAGTTTGCATCTGGTAGTCTTAAAATGGTGGCCATCCTTCCAGTGGAAGATAGTGTTTTAAAAAGAACTGTTCTCAAAAACAACCTAACACCGATGTCATAGTGTGATTCAGAAAGGGGAATACAAAATGTAATGCGAAAAGCTTCTTTCTGGATACTACCATGCTGAAACCATATTTTGCTGCCTTTTTCACTATGTAAGATGGTAATTTACTTGCTTAAAACTCCATAACTTAAATCACATGTAACTTGTCTCTTGTATTCACCACTGCAATTCATTTTGGTTTAATTTGTGTTTAAGTAGTGTAAGAGAAACCATGTTTAAGTTCTAGCTTTCAATTATTCTTAATATGGTCTGATTAGAGAAGGAGGCAATGATTTGCAATTGTCTTTGTGCTAATTGTCCCCTCCTTAGGATTTTTTTCTCTGTTTCCCTTGGATGCTGGCTCACTTAAGTGAACAATTCTGCCTCTTTCCTGCCGGTAATCTACTTAATCAGGCTTATTACTGTTAAACTTCCTTCATTAATGATGCTTTTGAGGAAGCATGTCAGACATAAATGGTTGCTAAAAGAGGGCACAGGTCAGTATGCCAGTTTAAAATGCAGTTTTTTCCTTAGTGACTCAAGGTAGCAGTCTTGTCTTGATTGACTTGTTTTCCTTTCTGGAATTTGAAGGAATTCTAGCAATACCATGGTGGAGTTTTCCCACCTCCTTTCTGCTCCTGCACAGCTTTTTGGTAAATGTTTTCATCCCTCTCTGCTGTATCTCAGTACATTTATGTAATTTGTGTGCTGAGAGTGTATGTTCTAGCTCAGTTGCAAAATATCTAGATAACTGCATAAAATTCAATCAGGTTAAGCTATGCTTTTCTGGCATCATACTAGTCTTTAAGATTATACAGGAAAATGATTTTCTAAAATTAAAGTGTATAGCCTATTCAGTACAGTTAGTCTACAACATAATATGAACAGACATTGCGTGACTAGGTAGTACAACGTCATGCCAGAACATGATTGAGTATCTTGCGTAATATCCATTCATTTGCCTCTGGAAATTAATAGATTTTTTCTAAGGTCTTATTCTCAACAACATCCTCTCGCATTTGGCTAGGCCATCTGCATTGGGTCAGGTTTAGACCAAAGTGTCTGTATCTGAATCTTTAATTTCTGCCCACCATTCCCTTCTTCACTCTTCCAGAATCAAAGAGTCATCTGGGTGGCAGCAGGTGTTCACGAGTCCCTATCTGGACTGGACAATTGAGCGAGTGGCTCTCAATGCGAAGGTGGTTGGAGGACCTCATGGGGACAAGGATAAGATGGTTGCAGTCGCCTCAGAGAGTAGCATAATCTTGTGGAGCATTCAAGATGGCGGTAGCGGCAGTGAAATCGGTAATTATAATTGCTTGATTGATTTGTTTTTGTGTTGTCCTTGTGCTTAACCAGAAAGGAGTTTGTGAACCTGTTGTGAGGTATGTATGATCAGTAGTGTTATGTCATTGTGAAAATGCTTTCTGAAGAAGCTGTAATACAGCAACCTATTACAGCATATTAACTTTCTTCTCTGTCATGCTAGGGGAATCCTTTCTAAAAATCGGAAAGGTGAATAAAAACTAGTCTGTTTGCTGAGCAGATACTAACTAATACTGAGTTTTCACGTGAAGACACAAATCAGAGTGAAACTTTTCATAGGACTTGTGTTTAAATCTAGGCCATAGCACAAGTTTAATAAAACTATTGAGATGGGAAGCTAGATACTGAGATATTCTGATTTTTCCTTGCCTTTGCCTTATCAAAGCCATATTTTTACATGGAGATGATGAAAAGATCTTAGTTTTCTGACAAATGTAGTTTATAAATGGAATTTGAAATAAGACAATTTGTTCTTTTTGTAGCTTTGGTTTCTAGGTAGGGAAAAAGCACACTGTACTGACCTAAGCATATAGGAATTTCTGCTTGTACTTCTTGACACTGAAGGACTCACAGCTAGGGAAGCTTTAAAACAGCACAAAGAGTTTTTCAGAAGTAAATGTTCATTGGTACTGATCTGATGGCTTGTCTGACCCGTTTGTTTTTCAAATACAGGGCAAGTTGGAGAGGCATTGAGGGGAATGGCATTAGGAACTTCCTTTAGCCTAATCTCTGGTGTTTGAATCGCCACTATTATACCAGTAATGTCCGCTTCTTCTGGCAGCGGGTATTGCTAATCAAGTGTGATGGCAATCTCTTTATATGAGCAGCTCTCTGAAACTGAATGCAGAATTAAATTGTATTTAAATATATCTTCATAGTTGAAGTCATGAGAATTAATGTCATCGTTAAAGAGAAAATGACCAAATTCATATTTTGATACATGTGCCTTTACTTTAAAGGAAGAGCTTACTTTAGAGATGCTCAGGCAATTTCTAGCTCCATTAATGTCTGTTGCTGCTTCTTATGTTTAAATAATTTCAAGCACTAAGTCAGATTTGAAGACAGAGAAAGGCAAAGGTCTTCCATGAAATAAAAGAGCACTAGGCAGCTGCATTACTTGTGACTCAGAGTTCTTGCCTGTGATCACAATCAGCAAAATAGAAAAGGAGGTTCTATTGCGTTTAGTAAATAAATAAATCTGAAAAGCGTGGGTAAGTTGATTACGTGATCTCTCTGTTAAACAGAGTTGATACTATACTTGAAGCCTTTTCTTTCATTATTCAACCCTTCACCAAATCTTATACTAGTAAGCAGGGAAGAGTTAGCATGACATCTGTACTACTGTAATAGGTATTGCTTTAAGCACTATGCTACTACATCCCTTCTGCATTTTTTTGTGTGACTTAGCTGCTTGTGTTCCCTTGGGATTTGAAATAAGATATCTGAAGCAACATTTTAGATTTTTGTATATCAAATTCAAAGGCAAAAAATAAAAATATATTAAAATACGCCAACATCGTAAGGTTCTGATAACTCAAACTGCAACTGAAGGTGGCAAACAAATGAAGGAAGCACTTTGCTAAGCAGGCTGTGCTGCATTGAAGTGACTGTGAAACAAAGGAAATCCCACTTGGTCTCTCTTTGGCAGGGGGAAGGGGAAGAGAAAGTGCCTACAGAATTGAATCTTCTGACTAACAATCAAACTGTACTGTTTGTCTTCTGGCTAGTAGTGCTACTTGGTCTAAAAGAACTAAAATACAGTTGCATTTAATAGTAAGAATTTGAATACAGCTACCTTTTTTCCTTATAGTTGCAAGTGCTTGCATTCCTGCTTTACATTAGAGATACAATATATTGCTATCATCTCGTGAAAGAAACTGCTCATTCCAAACAGTCTTTGGAGCCTGGTGACACTGTCCACAGAAAATTGTGCGGGCTGGCATCTTTGTGATAAAGCTCTCCCAGAGCGCACTCTTTCCTTTCAATATTACTTACATAAGACACAGCTGCTGGATTGCTGCTGTAAGCAGTATTTTGCTGAGAGGGACCCTTAAGACAAGAGCCTGTCATTACATATAGCATTGTCTCCCCTGTGGATGGGTCTCAAGATTGTTGAGCCTAAGCAGGACTGACACTTCAAATTCCTCCAGACCATTCAAGCTGTCTTCCTTGATTTCCTTGAACCTCATCCTTCTCTGGAGTAATCAATTCTAGTTGTTTCTGTGGATTTTTTATTATTGCCTTCTTCACATGCCTTGTACTGCTGAATCTTGTCTGTATTGAATGATTGTACCTTGCCCTGGAAAACAGTTTAGCATCTTAATTACAACGTAAGCATGCATTGAGCTTCTAGAGGGACGGCTGCTTCTTGGTTGGGAGTGGCACATTGTTTATTTGAGTTTGTCTGAAATAATGTTGGGAAGTTTTCTAGCTGTCAGATACCGTTGTTTTAAAAGATATGTCTGCTGCTGCAAGATATAAAGTGCATTAGTGGACAGTAATACTAATATGTAGACGGAACAGAATGGAATAGGAAAGTTTGTGAGTGTGCAAGTGTACACTTGGTGGTGTAATGTAACATCAGTACAAATGACTTTGGTATGTAGCAGGTAGTAAAGCTTAGTTGGGAATTACAAACAGAGTGGCTTTCAGGGCCAATTTGCGAGACTTTGCAGCTGGCGAACTTGGAAATTATCTCAGGCATTTTTAGCTCTCTGTAACTTTTAAATACATGGTACAATAAATCATACAAAATATCGTATGCTATGTAAGTTTACAGTTCAATTAAAAATATTGATATTGGATTTGTAATGAGACTAAGAAACCTCTAAAGAGAGAACAGATTTGGGTGGTGGAAGTTGCGTACAGACTTCAGTAAACAGACCCATTCCAGCTGAAGTTTGTACAGTGAGAACAGGGATCCCTGTTCTGGGGTCCCTCTTAAAATTTGTGTCACTGGAACAACCTTGCTGTTATAGGCGTCTAGATTCTCAGCAAGCTGCAATTACTTTTGCTTCATTTTTATATTTGTCAGGGTCATAATATTTTAGAATCTGGTAAACCTACTGACTTTGCTAAACTTCACGGTAAAATTATTACACACAGAAAGAGTTCTTTTGGGCAAGATCACAGTGCAGGAGGTAAGCTAATATTTGGTCTCTTCCCTCCCTACACCCACTTAAATAAGTCTCAGCTTTACTTGCAGTTCTAGTCTTCAAACAGCGAAGACCTCTGGTGAAAGATAGACTGGAATGATTGATGTTGTTTTCATGATATTTAGGAGCCTTTCTGAAACATAGAAAAGCAGAGATGTTAAGGTCTGTTCTAACCGTAGTCATCAATGCCTGTCGTAATTTGTAGTGCTTTGGTTTTAATATTAAGTAAAATGTTTTTGATGCCACATTTTCTCTATTTGGAAGGGCGGTGTTTTCTGGTAAGTTAGTCTTATCTTCCAGATTTTTAAGTATATGATGATTGTGAAATCAAGTAGGGTTATATATATGTATATAGCCTTGTAGTCTAATTCTGAAATGTTTTAAGACCACAGACCACCTCTATTTGAAAAAACAAACAAACAAACAAAAAAATGGGCATTAGGAGCTTTCAGTAATCCAGAAGGTAGTATGGCACAAATCTGCTAGCAAAAGCTGTGGAATTGCTGCTGCTTAAATGACACGCCATAGTCATGGCTGGATAATAAACAAAAATAATCCTATTTGCTTACTGTAATAGGATATATATATATATGTATGTGTATATTATATATACATGTATTTTTTTCCCATTGTTGTGATATTTTCCTCTTTATTTTTCATGCGCTTCATAGACTCTTCCGGGTGTTTTGTGTTTTTTTTCTTTTTGTAGGAGTTTTCAGTCTTGGAGTCCCTGTAGATGCTCTCTTCTTCATTGGCAACCAGTTGGTGGCTACAAGTCATACAGGGAAAGTGGGAGTGTGGAATGCTGTGACCCAGCACTGGCAGGTGTGTTTAATTCAATTTTCAGTACCAGTTTTAATTTATTCATTCTGTCAGAATGCATGTGAAATAGAGAGATCCGTGGAGTCTGTGCGAGTGTGAGAAAACGGTTGAGCATTCATGTGATTAACAAAGCTTGTAAGGTAGCCAGATGTGCATCTTTGTGGTACAAAGCTAGATGCAATAAAAATACAAAAATTGCTTTGCAAATCCCAAGAGGCAGAAGTGACCTAAGGCTGACTCCCTTGTCTGCTGTAGTGTTCGTGACTAAGTTCTTATTCAACCCTTTAGTGACAGTACTGCTAACTAACAACAGATAGTAAGCGTGGGATAGCACTGATTCTGCAGCAGAGGCAGACAAACATGTTGGGTTGGTCTTAAAACAATATTTAAAGTCCTATCAATGCTTTGCAAAATCTTCTGTCTCAACAATATAATGCTACGTGACAAGCTGGCATTTGACAGTACTTGATAAAGGAACAAGACATAAGGAATAAAAACTGATGTCCAATATTCCTTTCTCTTGTTTTCAGAGAGGAACATGGAAAGCTTTCTGATTACAATAACAGTTCTGCAGTTTGGTGGACTATTCCTTTGGTAGTGAAGGCTCTCATATTGAAGAGTAGAAAGCCTTTAGGAAGGGCTTATACCCCAAAATGTCACTGTTCTCTAAATTATTTTTCCTACAGGATGAGAATAGTTCACTTTAAATAAAAAATAAATAATAATAAAATCTTTCAGGGTACTTCCTGTGCCTGGGGCTCTTTTGTTAGTGTTAGGAAGATGGCAGTTTTTCTCGTCTCCCTGTAGAATACATTGTTCTTGATGAGCTATAAAGACTTAAGTGGCAGGGGTGTACCTCTGATCTTTAAATGCCTCATGAGAATACATGGCATTTGCTTACCCATTTTCCATGACTTGCTCTGGACTTAGAATATGATCTTGCTGTAAGAGAGATGTTTAGAACAGTGCACCAATGCCCAATGCAGACCAAGACCTTTGTTTCCTTTCAGACTTGTTCTCCAGGTGCCTTTCTACATCCTTTCCAGAACAGCCCTTTCTAAGTTCTACTTTAAAGAATCTTAGTTTTTGCCAAGCTCTTCTCATGTTGTAATTTTTGTATTTGATGTAGCTTACCCTGAGGATGCAAATCTGACCTCTGTCTGTAATTAGTTCTGACATCATCTTCCCAACTTGGAGATCTGAGCAGACTAGCTGAGGTGGTTTTCCTGGTACTTATTCCTTTGGCAATGTTTCAGTGGCATGTAACAAGGAGAGGAAGTTTTGGAGTGCCAGATACCAGAATACTTAGTGTAACAGAATAGGACGTAGCAGATAAAGCAATAGAACATGACAGAATAACTCTCCTTGTTTTGACTAATGACCCAGTCAATTTATGCTGTTGGCAGCATTGTGGGTCCTCTTGCTCAGACCTCTCCTTGCAGTTGTTAATGTGTTCTGCAAGGTGATGAGTAAAGTGGTGCATCTGTTGATGGGTTCCCTCCACCTTCATTAGTTTTGTAAAGTTTTTGCAGCTGGGAGAGCTTCCTTTATAGACCTTAGATCCAGAGAACTCAGGAAGCACATTGCACCTTGATGCATAGATTCTTAGATGTGTTTTTTTATTTCCTTTCTTTCTGCTCTTGTGCTGCTTCTTTAAATTAGCCTGGAAAAAACAAAATGTTAAAGGGGGCAAGACATTTTTTTTTCTCCTCGTTATAGAGATCTTTGCCTGTAGCAGATACATGCAGGGGCAAGAACTGGGTGTAGAAGAAATCTTTGAGGCCCAGCAACCTCCAGAAAACTGAGGAAGCAGCAATTTGACTTTTTTTTCTTTTGTTTGTACTAGGTTCAGGATGTTGTTCCTATCACGAGCTATGATACTGCTGGCTCTTTTCTGCTGCTGGGCTGTAACAATGGCTCTATCTACTATATAGGTAAGAAAGGGGCAGGGTGGAATAAAAAGGAAGTGATACTGAGCAGCTTTGTTCTTAAACTCTTTAGTCTATCTGCTCTATATCACATCAGAATAGCTTTGTGTTTTTCAGAGTAATAAACAAATGTCTCTTCCCCACAGACATGCAGAAGTTCCCATTGCGGATGAAGGACAATGATCTTCTAGTGACAGAATTGTACCATGATCCCTCCAATGATGCTATAACAGCACTCAGTGTCTACCTCACACCTAAAACAAGTCAGTATTGTATTGTATTGATGTCCCTCAAGCATCACTGTTTCACTGAGAATCTGTTAGAGATGTGTGTTTTTTTTTTCCAATTGGACATTTTCTATTGTTGCACAGTAGGGTGAAAGCAGACAAAGTAGCACTTGCACGTAAACATTGATTTTTTTTTTTCTTCCCTGAATCATTGAAATGAATGATGAGCACTGGATGTGATTGTTTCCCCTTATATCTGTACATATTTATAAATAGGTAAGTGATTGTCCCCTTGTGTGTAGCACTGGTAAGACTGCTCAGTGTTGTGTTCAGTTTTGGGCCCCTCACTACAAGAAGGATATTTACAGAGTTGCTCGTGTGTGCAGAGGAGAGCAACGAAGCTAATGAAGGGACTAGAAAACAAGACATACAAGCATCTGAGGGAACTGGGGTTGTTTAGTCTAGAGAAGAGGAACCTGAGGGGACACCTCATTGTTCTCTAAAACTATGTGAAAGGAGGCTGCAGTGAGGAGGATGTCGGTCTCTTCTCAGGTGACAGGTGATAGGACATGAGGAGACAGTCTCAAGTTGTGCCTTAAGGGAGGTTTAGACTGGATATCAAGAAGAATTTCTTCATGGAGAGAGAGAACAGCCAAGCATTGGAATATGCTACCCAGTAAAGTGGTGAGTCCCCATCCTGGGAGGTATTCAGGAAACTTGTGGATATGACGCTAAAGGACGTGGTTTAGTGATGGGACTTGGTAGGTCAGGTTGATGGTTGGACTTGATAATCTTTATGGTCATTTCCAATGTAGATAATTCTATGAAATAGGTACACGTGCAATCAAGTACATATATGTAAGTACAAAATATTACATTATACTTTAATACATTATGTGTATAATATACATTATTAATGTATAATGTAATAACACATAATGCATTGTATATTAACACTTATGCATAATGTGCCTTTGCTGGTTTTAAGCCTTTTATACAAGTTATTCACTTAGATTACTGTGGTGGTTTTACCTTGCTGGGCAGCTGGTTTCCACCACAATTGCTCTCTCACTCCCCTCCTCAGAAGAAGAAGGGGAGAAGAAACTATGCTGGACAAAAAAAAAAAAAAAAGCTCACAGGTTGAGATAAGGATAAGTTAATTAAAGGGAAAAGAAAGAGTGGAAATAACAAGGAAAAGCTGTGTGGAAGCACAGAGAGAGATAAAAAAGTACTTCCCATCAATGAGCAACGTTTAGCCACGTCCTGGGAGGCAGGGCCTCAATATGCATAGCGGTTGTTTGGGAGGAAAGATGTCGTCTGAACAACAACCCTCCCTCTCCTTCCCCTTTCCCACCTTCTATTGCTGAGTGTGACACCACATGGCATGGAATATCCCTTTGATTGGTTTAGGTCAGCTGCCCTGGTGATGTTCCTTCCTCACCTATTGCCCACCCTCAGCTTGCTGGCTCTGGGGTGGGGTCCTGATGCTGTGCCAGCACTGCTCAGCAGCAGACACAACACTGGTGTGATACCAGTGCTGTTCTAGCTACAAGTGCAGAGCACAGCACTGTATGGGCCACTGCAGGGAAGGTTAACACTATCCCAGCTAGACCCAGTACAATGATAAATCTGATTCACTGAAATACTTAATGTTGAATTGCAGGCAGGGCAGAAACACCACCTTACCATTACATCTACCCATCTCATAACAAAATGTGCTAAAAATGGGCATCTGAATGATGTTCAGTTATTGTGTTTATGCACTCTTCTGTAAACACAGTGCAGCTACCTTTTAAATCAAGGGGAACAAGGTGGTGGTGGGGAATAAAACATCTCAAAGGAACCGTTTACTTGCATATCTGTATTGATATCATAGTGACCGTTTTAGCTATAGTCTTCCCTGTTCTTGCCTTGCTTTCCTCGCATTTGCCTCCCACTAAGGCAGAAGTAAACAGCATGTGGCACATATTGAACATGTCACTGTGAAAAGTGCCAAAATATCCACTTGGAATGTAGAATGAGATCTTCAAATGACTTTATCCATCTTTTGTTTCACCTCCAGGAGAGAGGAGAGAATGAGAGGGTAGGCCATTGTTAACATAGTATTGAAGAGTGTGGTATGGATTTGAATAAACTTATTTGAAGCGGGAAAATACCCTCTCTGATCATGAGAAAATCATGAGTTAAGAGTGTTAAAAATAAATATATTTCTTATTGTGAAAACTTGGAAATACTGTTTTCTACCAGCTCATTACCTGACTCCAGTAAGACAAGCTTTAATTCCTGAAAGGAACAACTGTGTTCTTGCTTGCTCTAGGTGTAAGTGGCAACTGGATTGAGATTGCATATGGCACCAGCTCTGGAGCAGTGCGGGTGATTGTACAGCACCCTGAAACAGTTGGGTCTGGGCCTCAGCTCTTCCAGACTTTCACAGTTCATCGAAGCCCTGTTACGAAGATCATGCTCTCGGAGAAACACCTTGTGTCAGGTAATCTTTCTCTGCGGACCAGTTTGCATTGGTAGTTCTCCCTGCTCCTGACCACTTCAGTGTTCACATGCATTACTTTTTAATTTGCTTTGTTTCCACATTTGATAGAAGTGAACTGAACAGAGTTTTTATGGGCTAGATTTGCTTGGATCCTCTTCCTTAGACATTCATCTAAGCCCTTAGCTGTTAAAAAGCCTGGGCTTTATTTGACCAGATACTGGAACAACTAACTCTTTGCATCTTATTCCAAGGTTGCAATTGGTGGAAATAAAAGGATTTGTAAACAAATACATCCCTGTCAAGTCTTACTGTTGTGGGCAGGTCCTTTAGGATTTTTCTTGCTTTAATAGCATTTCAGGAACTTTCTGGGTTGCAGCAAAATGTGCACCACCCCCTCCTGAGCCCTAGAGAAAACCTTCCTATGACTTCAAAGGGTTGTCTGTGTCTCCTCTTCTCTCAGCTGTCTCTCAGTCTTTGTTGTGCTCTCCTATGTTATGCTCAGGAAAGCATCTGTTGGTTCCAGAGAAGAGGTAATCTCTCCTCCTTGTGGAAGATTTTTTCACCCAGAGTCTAGCAACCAGGGCAGGAGACAGATTTACTTTCTGCTGTCCCCCATTTTTTTATTTTTGAAGTAACAGAAAACACACTATGCAATTATATTGTAAACAAACAGCCCAGGAGCCATCTGTTCTGCTGCAACTTGGAACTGATTTCATGCTAAACCCTCAGTACAAGGAAAGGTCACATGTATGTAGAAAACTGAGTAACTGACAAATGAGACAGAAGAGCATTTTTCTGTGTGGCGGGAGGGTTCTGCTGCCAGGCTGCTCTCCTGACATGTCTTGTACTAGCACATGCACGGTTCTGAAGGGTGCTGCTGGTACTGACTCAGTCAGGCCTTAATGTGTGTTATACATGTGTTTCACCTGCCTCAAGTTTTTCTTTAATTTCTGAGGGAAGAGACAAAAGTAACTAATAAAAAACAGGACGTCTGCAACAATTTGTAGATTGTTAGATAATCGCCTGGTGTTGCTAGATAACATGACATGTGACTAAGCAGGATTTAGTCATTAATCTTGAAAAACTATCATATAGAAAACTTTCAAGTTAAGCTTCTTCAATGTGTCATCCCTTGTAAATGTTACTGTACATCTTTTTCCTTTCTAGTTTGTGCAGATAACAACCATGTACGGACATGGACTGTGACTCGGTTTCGAGGCATGATTTCAACTCAGCCAGGCTCAACGCCTCTTGCATCATTCAAAATCTTATCCCTGGAGGAAGCAGAGAGTCATGGCAGTTACTGTTCTGGAAACGACATTGGTAGGATGTCTCACCAGCTTGATGTGCTGAGGCTGTACGTTAACAGGTCTCACGAAGGTTTAACAGACACTGTGACTTGCAAGTCAGATCATGGGTGTAAGCTTTTATATACTGCTCTTCCCTTGAAAAGATGGCAGGAAATACCATTTAGGCTGTGCAGAGTGAGTATGCTTACAGGGCTTAGTTTGAAGGTGAGGAAAAAAGAAGAAAAATTTTTGATCACAAATGCTGTGCTTTTTCCGTGAACAAACTGCTGTAGCATTTCACTTTTGTTTTAACTAGAGAACGACAGAAAGCAGGGAAGGCTGTAATTAAAACAGGTAACTGTAGCAAGGTTTGGGTTAACTGCAAGTTCCAGCTCACTGCTTATTTGGTTTTAAATGATATGCATGTGGAAAAATTCCAAAATGAATTCAAAGTCGGTTTACTGAAGCCCTGAAACTGCAGAGGCAAATGGTGGAAGCACATTGCTATAGCAAGATACTCAAGGAATGCGTTTCTGTGAATATGTGTAGATGGGTAGTTGAGATTCCTTTGTGGCCAGAGTCTTGTAAATGAAACTTTGGTGAACAGGATGGCCTATGGACACAGGGTGGGATCACAAGAAATCTGAGTAGGCATTTAGACAGCTAGGAGCTGTAAAGTAAGGAAGTACTTAGAGAGGCTTGATGTCTGGTTTTGTAGTGACATGCTAATTCCTGCAGGAACATCTGAGAAACTCAGAATGGACATCCTTTAAAGCAAATGAACAAAAAATACCGTAGATTTGTATCTGCAGAGTCTACTGACCAATGGATGGCTTTTTCTAACTTTTGGTCACCTTTGGTTCCCTGGTCCTGATGCTTCAAAATGCCAATAACCATACTAATACTAACTGGGTCTTTGGGTCTGTGTGGGGAAGAGGATGAGCAAGGTCAAACACTGAAAAAGTGATTTTCCTTTTTTCTCTAGGACCCTTTGGTGAACGTGATGACCAACAGGTGTTTATTCAAAAAGTTGTTCCCATCACCAATAAGCTCTTTGTAAGGCTGTCTTCGACTGGGAAAAGGTACCTCCTGGATTTAAGTGGGAAAGAAGCAGGGCTCCTCGGGTGGCTGGGTCTCCCATCCCATGGGGACAGTTGCATTCAGCAAGCTTCTAATACGCTTGACAGCTCTGGCTGAGCTCTTTTTTGTTTGTTAGTGACAGAACTGTGCTTTATGATCTGCTATAACATAGAAGCCAAATGGTATTTTGAAAAATGTGCTTTCAGAGATGCACATTGTGATGGCTTCCCTGCTGAGCTCACGAAGTAAACATTTGTGTGCCTATACATAATCTGTACCTCACCCATGGTACCAAGCTAACATTAAATTTCAAAAGCTAATGCTGAAGTTGCAGGTGGCAGGGTTGTGCCTCTCAGAGGTATACAGGGTAGCAGTCTCTCTCTTCCTTTGTGCCTGTCTTTGAAGATATGAGAACCTAGAAAAGTGAGAGGCTGTCTTTTAGTTCAGGTGTACAATTTACTTAGGCTTGATTCCATCATATTCTATTACATTGCTACAGAAGTAAAGTTGCCAAATACAGCTACTTTTCTTCCTTTTAGGCTAGAAAAATGGCAGGGGATCAGAAAAGATGATGCATCTGAGTCCAATGTTTCTTACATCTTTTGCCTAGTAATTTTTCATGTGAGAAAATGTTTATGTTTTAATGCTATTGGCAACTGAATTGAGAACAGGAGACTTGAAGGTTGCTGGTGTGCTTTTTTACTTCTGCTGGTTTTGCATGTAGTGGAGAGTTTTATTCAATGACTTATTTGGGCATTTCTTCTGTAAAAAGCTTAATACAGGGGACCATAAAAACAGATTACCCGGAATACATGAAGCTTTGGCATGGAGTCTGGCTTAGTAGCTTAGTTTTGGGAGTCCCTTTTCTGTCGCTCTCCACATCACCTTCTAAAATAAGGGAAGAAAAAGCGATGGAGTTCTGGTGTGTTGTCATACTGCAGTTGTCAGGAGACAAAAATTATTTGTGTTGATAACCTTGGATTTATCATCCTTGGATTTTTCTCATGTTTTATGTGGTTAAATATGCTGTTTCTGCAGGTTAGTATCCTAGAGTATCTAGCGTAGGAAAGGGCTACTTGCCCCATTCTTGAATGCTCTCCCATTTTGAGAGCCTTAAGTTTCTGATCACTATGGACTGAAGAAGCACATTGAACACAGGGGGTTCCTCTAATAAAAATAAATAAGTGGTAATGCTGCAGATGGGGGGTGGGAGGGGCAGGGGCAGGGAGAAGGCATCGCCTGCAGATGAGCAGCATGTCAGTCATGCAGGGGAAGAACTCTTGTCCGGAAAAAAGGTCTTTCTCTGATGACATTTTTATTGCCTTCTCTGAAAATCAAAATAGTGCAGCGTTTATTGGCCAAACTCTGCCAAGTGCAAGTGTTTTGAGAACTTGGGGTTTCTCTTTGTGTAGAATCTGTGAGATCCAGGCAGTTGATTGCACTACCATCTCATCCTTTACTGTACGAGAATGCGAAGGATCCAGCAGAATGGGCTCTCGGCCGCGCCGCTACCTCTTCACTGGGCATGCAAATGGCAGCATCCAGATGTGGGATCTGACCACAGCCATGGACATGGTTAATAAGAGTGAAGACAAAGGTAAGTTTTGCTACACCAAAACTGTGGTATGGTCCTTTTGCTGTTTTCATTTGTGTGCCACTACTGTAAATGGATTCAGGCACTAAGAGCTGTCTCTTTCAGACGTTGGTGGCCCCACAGAGGAAGAGCTTCTGAAGTTGCTTGACCAGTGTGACTTGAGTACATCTCGCTGCGCCACTCCCAACATCAGTCCTGCCACATCAGTCGTTCAGCCAAACCGGCTGCGGGAATCTAATTCCAGGTAGGTCACAGGGTGGCACCAGCTGCAGACACCAAAGGTTTTACCCTTCAGGTAGGTGAAGACAGGTTTGGTGACCTGAGCACTGTAGCTAATTCCCCTGAATCGATGCCATAAGTGTCCTAAATCACACTTAAGCTTCTGGATATGTGTTGGTTTATGTGTGTACAGATTGAAGTACTGTATGAGAATCTGAAGCAAGTGATCTGGAAGTTGTTGTGTGGGGGTTGAGATGAGTATATGGCTTTTTTAGTAGGAGTTGGGAGCAGGGTATGTAGAAGAACAGGCTGTTATTCTCAAGCTAACATCACCTCTTTTTTTTTTTTCTTTTTTTTTTTCTTTTGGAAGTCTCCAATTACAACACCACGAAACAATCCATGAAACAGCTACATATGGTTCTGTGCGGCCATACAGAGAAAGCCCCCTATTGGCAAGAGCAAGGCGGACGGAGAGCTTTCACAGTTACCGGGACTTCCAGGCTTTTAACTTATCCAGCAAAAGCCCAGTCGAAAAGGCAGCCCCTGCAAATGGGAATTCAACCCCGACAGAGGCAAAGAAGGCAACAGCTGAGGGCAGCGCAGCTGAGAGGAAGGCAGGCCTGGCAACAACACTTGAAGTGCGAGGCACTGGCCTGACGGATGCAGGTGGATGTTGCAGCACAGAGGTTAACAGGCTGCCAGAGAGTTCGCTGGATGTCAAGAGAAGAGGACTGGAAGAGGAGAGTGAAGCCAAAGCAGAAAGCAAGAAGAAAACAGGGTTTGAAGGAGCTGGTTTCCTGGGGAGGAAGAAAGTGCCTCTCCTGGCCTCTGCACCAGTCCTTGTTGAAGGTGGACCTGAATTACCTGGTGCGGCATCTCCATCACCTACAAAGACAGCTGCTTCGCCACGTCACCGGAAGAATGATTCATCTTGCCAGGACTATGGGTTGTGAAAATGGGACTGGTGGCAAAGATGAGGTGCAGGTGCACTCTGCCTGGTAGCAGACATGACACTCACTGCGTGTTGCAGGTTTCTTCTTGAACGGGATTTCGTTTTGGTATACAGAATGAAAATTGTAAGGAAGCAGGTTGTGAGAAAGTACCTGGCTGCTGCCAAACATTTGAAGAGTCGACACATCAGTGTGCGGCTTTATGTAATGCTCCAAAATGTAGTGCGGTACTTGGTCCAAAATATTGTTGTGCATTGCGTAAACATGGTCAGGCATGTGCTATGTTGTGATTATTTGGGGGGTGGGAGGGAACGGGGTACGAGGGTGCTAGGGAGTACTTGGTTGCTTGGTGGAAGATGCCTTTCAGACACAGCGCGCATTGCTCTGCGGAGCTGCTGCTGTCTTGGCTGGATTCTGCCTGATTCACAGGGCTGCCTTTGTGGTCTTGTTTTATGAATGGGATTCTTGCTCTGTATGCTGCTGTCTGAAATCTGAAATGTTTTGTCCAGGTAAAGGAGGAAGCTATTTAAAATAGCATATTATATTGCCTCTTAGTCCTAATAAATTGCCAGAAAAATGTTGCTTGTGCTTCCTGAAAATTTATGGTGTCAGATGATGGGTTTTTCTGATTGTGACTGAGAGCATGCAGAAAAATATGCTTGGCAAAATGCACAGAACTGCCAGTCTCTTGAGGGCTTCCTTGCCTCTTTCTCGGAAAGAGGACAGAGATGAATATGGGAGTAGGTCTACTGTCATGGTGTAATAATTCTCAATTACAAGTGCTTTGACATGATATTTCCTACCTGCGCTGTGCTGATGGCTTGATGTTTGCTCCTGGTTCACTGTGGGTGTTGAACAAATTATATTGCCTGTAGATTAGCAATACGTAAGCAAAAGGGAAGGCTGTGACAGCAGCTGTTTAACAGGGGGTGCGTTAGGAGATTTTCTACCTTGGAAAAAGTATGCTTGGAGTTTAATATTAATTAATGGCTTGCTTTATTTTTTTTAAACTTGAGGCTAGGGGGTAAGGAAGAGGGAGGCAGAGAGGCAAAAGGTAAAGCAAATCCTTTATCCAAATGAATTCCTTCATTTGCTGTTTATTTACTAATGCATGAACACAGTTTTGTGGTGGAGCTCTGTTAGGTCAAATAAATACACATCTGTCCTTCCACAAGGGCCCCTTTTAGCCACATACAGTTTTTTCTGGACAGGTAAATGATTTTCTATATAAGCACCCCTGCCCCACCACACACCCTCCTCAGCTGCAAAAGCTGGATGAGAGACAAGGATGAGTGTCTCTCCTTCCATGGTCCTCTACTACTGCATAACTTACAGGTTTTCAAACTGTTCTCATACCTTTTTGAGACATCAGTGCTAACACACAATTTTTACTATACAATTATAGATGGTGGGAATAGGCTAACTAGTACCCCCAGCAAACAGTTCTATCTCTTAACTAGTGGGTGTGGGATGCAGAAATGGCAGCCATATCCCCTCTCCCAAAGTCCGTGCAGGCTGCTTTTGGCAAGTTACCCACTTTGCATTTTCTAGAGAAGGTGGTTGTTTTTCAGAGGTGGGTATCAGTGAATGTAGTGTGTTCCTTGGTGACTGTGCTGAAGCCTTTGATGACGTTGACAAGATCTTCTTCATCTGCATACTGTTAGGAGGGGGAAAAAAAAGTCATGTAAGTCAAACCTGTCCTATGCTAAAATGAGATTCAGTTCATTCAATTTTTTCTCTGCACCCCAGAAATGGTTTTTGAAACAGCCTATGTGCGTTTCTACTTTTCTACTTGTTTTCCCCTTTTTCACAGCATGAACCAAAATATTCAAAGTATCTGACCCCAAAGCAGCTAGTTTTCATGGTAAGTAATAGGTTTAAAATAACTCCTTACAGAGGGTAAGGAAATCCATGTTTATTACAGGGAGGGAGAACTTATAGAATCATCGAATATCCTGAGTTAGAAGGGACCCACAAGGATCATTCAGTCCCCCTCCTGGCTTCCTGCAGGACTCCCCAAAAAAACAGACAAAAAAACATGATGTAAGCAAAACCTGCCCTACACTAAAATGAGATTCTGTTCTGAGATTGATTCTGTTCCTACGTCTGAGAGCGTTGTCCAAACGCTTCCTGAACTCCATCAGGCTGGGGACCTTGACCATTTCCCTGAGGAGTCTGTCCCAGTGCCTAACCACCTCTCGGTGCAGCGCCTTTCCCTGACAACCAGCCTGATCCTCCCCTGTCCCAGCTCCATGTTGTTCACTCAAAAGGATTTTAAAGATTTAATCTGTGACCATATCTTTCTAAATCTTTTGATTGTATATCCAAGGACTTTTGAGAGTTAGACCTTTACATGATCCTAACAAAACAAACCAATCACTAGAAGCTGACACAGCGACAGCACAGAGGAAGAGGAGTCCTTACCAAGCCACGACCACCAGTGCGATGATTACGAATAATGGCATCCCAAGGTGAATCGTCAACAAGAGGCTTTTTGTCATAGATGTCAAGCAGCTGGCTGACACTACGGTGAAGGGAGGCTTGAGAATACGTGCGACTTAACTGGCTCTGACTTGGTCGCCGTGCCCTAGAAGCATTATGGACACCGCGGTTGCTTGTGGGAGAACCAGCTCCTGGAATTTTTGTATCTTCTAGCCCCTAGTGGAAAGAAACAAACCAGCAAATGTAATACACAAGGCACGGCCTTGAAACACTTTATCTAAACAAAACAAAAGCAGGAGTATAGCAGAACAGAGAAGGCCATGCCACAAAAATCATGCAGAGTTACAAACAGAACAACAACTAAAAAGAACCCTTCCCCACTGGCAGACAATCATGTCATTCAAAAGGATAAAAAAAAATAATAATAATAATAAAAAAACTAACAACAACTCTCTAAAGCAGGGCTTTCCCTGACTTTTTGTCTCCTCTCTTTTTTTTTTTTTTTTTTTTTTTAATTAGTCAACAGGTACAGGTCCAAAGATTTTTGACTACCTCAATGACAGTATGACAGTCCAGACTTCCACAGCAGACTTTCTTTTGCTCAGTTATGGTCAGTTACCATGACCAGGAAAAACCCAGTTACCCACCAGGAAAAACATGCAGTATAGGTAAGATGCCCTTATGCATGCTCTTTGGGTCATCTGGCACATCACACGTTTTGCAACTCTGCAAGCTAACAACTCTACCTCAAAGTGCATTGTGTAACTTTTGAGAGTGACACTGCTCGATGAATCAGACGTGTCAGCAATAGTCTCAAACTGAGATTAAAGAGAGGGAGGAAAAGCATTAGTGCAAGCAAAGGTGCAATGCAGGTGCAGTCTGTTCTTTACGGAGGCTGTGAATTAGCTGCAGCTCAGTGAGCAAGGAGACAGAGTAGCAGGATGTGGGGGAGTGGGGAACTGGCAAAAGATGAGGCACAATTTAACTTTAACTGGTCATCAAGTACTATGTGGGCAGCCAGCATTGCTTGCTGCGTGATCTCACTAGCAATTGTAAAACACAAGCAGTTTTGCCACTTCAGAGCCGCTCAGTACTAAGTTCTCAGATTAAGTAAGTCCTTCAGCTGATGCACTGTACAGTCTTCCTTTCTATTAACTCCCCAAAAAAGTCCTATTTTCCCAAAATGAGTTTTATTAAAAAAAAAAATAATAATAAAAAGCAGGGAGAAAAACAAAAGGGGCAGGAACATGGAAAGGACATGTGTGGGCACGCCAACAGCAAAGACATTTTAAAGTCAAGAGGAACAACACGACATGACAGACTGTATAAGAAAAGGAATCAAAAGCATGAGACCCATAAAATAAGTTTCTTATGCTCTCAGCCTTTGCCAGGAGAAGGGGCACACTGGAAATCCCATTGTTTCCAAGAGCTGCTTCGTTGAGGCACAGATGCAGCTTCTTGGCACTGAGACAAGAAGGAACAGAATGCGTGAAGGATGCAGGAGTCACTATCCTGCTTCATGGCACTCACAGAGAAAAGAAGCTGAGAAGTGACAAGAAGAATAGCCTTGTAGCTTGCGCCTGGGAAGAAGCACAGAACAGGAAGGCACTGCAGTTCTAATTTTTAATCTTGTAGCAATTTCCAAATTCCTTTTGTCTTGCGTTTCACAAATGGGTAGGATAGCAGTACTACTCTGCTTCATGATGGAATGTGTACTTTATCCAGGTTTTTACACAGTTATAGCTTGTCATAATAAAAATGGCACTAAGCTTTCCCCTTTATCACTCCTCAGCAGTCCTCCTCCTACCCCTGTAGTGGTGCCAGTGCAGCTTTATGTGCACAGATACGCACACGCTCTTTGTAAAGGTTCCTAGCTTTTTTATCTGGTTGCACTCACTCTCCCTAAACCTTCCTGGCAGCTGGTCCTACAGCATTCCAGTTGGGTGGTGGGTCGGTACTAGAAAGAAATAGAGCCTGTCCCTAAGTCCTGCTTTGTGTAGGGACAGCTCATGGATACCTGAGAAAAGACTGTCAGACTAGCCATTCCTAACAGACAGTTGGAACCACATGGCAGGTTCCTCTGAAAGCAGATTTTATTACTTACCTTCTCACAGGATGCCACGGTCTTTTCAGCTCTACTGCAGCTGTCAGCTAACATCAGGTGCCATTAGTGGCTTTGGATTTTCTGTGACTACAGATCCAAAGTTTGTCACAGGGCATCAGAAGCATTTTACATCCAGAAATGTCAGGTCCTGCAAACCAGATGCCCTAGCGATCTTTTTGGATTAAGTGCCTGCAGCCTGGCTATCTGTACCTTCATAGCTATAACCAGATAGCCCGTTTCCTACACTGAGCAGCATCCATCTGGTAACTAAGAGTGCAACAAAACAGTGAAAGGACAAAGAAAAACTGTGAGGGGACATATAAAGATGTAACTTGATAGATACACAACATTGTGTTTTACCCAACCTACCGGATGTGTTTCACCTGTTGAATACACGCTCATTGGTGACGTTCTTTTCTGGAGCGGAACTAAAGGAGGTCTGTCTCGTGCATAGGGCTGCTTGTGAACTTTCCTTTGAAGAATTAAAGACAGAAGAATAGCCAAGATGATCAAACCTAGAACTACCATCAACACTGCAAACCACAGCTCATTGTAGAATTTTGCACTTTTGGACTCTGCTTTGTCCTTCTCTCCAGGTGTTGTCAAGATCAGACCTGTAAAAATTAAGACAAATTAGGGGAGAGAGGGAATGTTATTTCAGAAAGCCATTTAACAATATGCTATCCCTTTCAACTCTAATAAATTAGGAAGAAATTTAAGTCATTTTGTCGTCATGTGCTTATTTGCACTTATGTTCAAGGTGGCATAATGGTTCAATATGCTAGCGGGCTATAATAAAAAGCTTACTACCCTCAAGAGACTCTGCTTAAAGTTCTGGCATTGCTGCTCAGGCTGGAAATCACCACTGCATCAGCAGCTCTTGAGAAAGAAGGCAGTGGAGGTGGAATGTGAGAAAAAAAGGGTTCTCCAAGTAACCTTGAAGAGTGAAAATGACTACGGTAATTTCAGAGAGGCACAGACAGAGGACATTCTCTCCACCACTGTGCCAGTACTTTGTAGCAGCAGGCCTGTGCAG